AAAGTATCTCAAGAATGGAAGAAAAAGTATCCAATGTACACAGCCCTATTTTGAAACTAATTCATAGCTTTTATAGGAATGACATAACCTAATTATAGCCTTAGAATATGGGAAGGGAGCGGGAGAGGGGAGGCGAGGTGGGTGGATGGGGGGAGGGAGGGTGATTGGTGGGGTCATCTATATGGTTTATCTTACAAGGGTACAAGTGAATCTTTCTAAAAGCAGAGTATGTATGTCTTAATGACTAAGAGAATGACATGAAGATTATGTTAACCAGTTTGATGAGAGTATTTCAAAATGTATATGAAAACAGCATACTGTACCCCATGATTACATTAATGTACATAGTTATGCTATAAGAAATTTAAAAAAAATTTTAAGAAAGAGCTTCTGCACAGCTAAACAACAAACTAAAGCAAACAGACAGCCTTTAGAAGGGGAGGAGATATTTGCATGTTAAGGGTACAACAACTAAAGCAAATAGACAGCCTTTAGAAGAGGAGGAGATAGTTGCATGTTAAGAATCTGATAGAGACCTAATAACTAAAATCTACAGAGAACTCAAACTAATTAAAAAGAAAAGAGAAAACAATCCCATTTGTAAGTGGGCAAGAGACTTGAGACTTGAATAGAAACTTCTCTGAAGACGACAGACAAACAGCCAACAAAAACATGGAAAAAATGCTCATCATCCCAGAGAAATTCAAACCAAAATCACTCTGAGATATCACCTAACCCCAATGAGAATAGCCCACAAAATCCCAAAGCTGCAGACACTGGCATGGATGTGGAGAAAAGGGAACACTTTGACACAGCTGGTAGGATTGTAAATTAACACACCTCTATGGATACACAAATCAATAATTCTCAAAGAGCTAAAAGTAAGCCTTCCATTTGATCCTGCAATCCCATTACTAGATATCTACCCAGAACACAAAAAAAAACATTTTACCATAAGGATATCTGCATGAGAATGTTTATTGCAGCAATTCACAATCACAAGACATGGAATCAACTCAAGTGCCCATCAACACATGAATGGATTAAATAAACTGTGGTATATGTATTTACCTAGATAGAGTTGAAGTACATTCTTCTTAATAAAGTATCACAAGAATGGAAAAGCAAGTATCCAATGTACTCAATACTAATATGAAACTAATAGATAAACAACTACACACCCACATGAAAGAAAAACACAATTAAATTCAAATGGTGGGGAAGGGAAAGGGAGGAGAGAGGAATTGGTAATCTCTCACCTAAGGTGCATGATGTAGATGGTGGAGGGAAGGTGATTGGTGGGGTCACCTCTATGGTTTATCTTACAAGGTTACAAGTGACTCTTTCTAAAAGTAGAATATAAAC